TTGTCTTTTTTCCATTTGTTAATTTTTATTCTTATTAGTATGAACCTGTGGATTTTCATTTTATACTCTGGGTTATGATCCAATATATTATTTCTTAAATTATTCCAATTTGGGAGCTCTTTCAGTTGTGTGTATGTGTGTACACATATATGTGCACACTCACACACACATATGTGTGCCTGACTAAAATATTCAAGCATTTTGCAAACATTTTGGTGAAACAAACACATTATACAATTTGGGGGGTGAGGGTGGGAAGAGAGTACTGGGGTTTGAACTCAGAGCCTCAAATTCTTCCTTGGCTTTTCTTTCCCCCAAGGCTGGAGCCACTTGAGCCACATTCTGTGTGTGTGTGTGTGTGCGTGTGTGTGTGTGTGTGTGTGTGTGTGTGTGTAATCTCTGCTCATCAGTGAGAAAATATTATTTTTATTGATTTTTGAAATTCTGAGACTAAAACCCTTGCACCTACTAGGCAAGTGCTTTGCCACTGAACTATATCTTCAACTATTGTTTAATGTTTAGACTTCTTCCTATGGAAGTTTTGTTTTTCTGTTTTGTTCTATTTTTTTGGGGGGGTGTATTTTTTTGGTACTGGTGCTTTGAGCTCTCCTTAGCTTTTCTATTCAAGATTGGTACTCTACCACTTGAGCCGTAGCTCCACTTCCCTGTTTTTGTTTTGTGGCACTGGGAATCCTATCTGGAATGTGGAATATGCTAGTGCTCTATCACTGAGCTTCAGCCTGTCCTCCCTCTTCCCTTCATTGTTCTCTTTGGTCTCTAGTTTTTTATGGTAAAGACCTTCCTCCATGCAGCTTGATCCTTGACTGTTTATATTTAAGAAAAGGACATTTAAGAAAATGGGTAGAAAGCTATAGATGTGTGATGGTACTTTACATTTTACAACAAATTTGAATAGTACAAGGAAAATTACCTAAAGATACAGAATTGGGGATTGAGAAGTTTTCCCCATCTCATAATCCAGTTATATCACCTAAGGTAAGGGTCACTAGCAGAAAGCCCAGTTTACCTGTTTATAGCTTTCAAGCAGACAGGAATCTTTGTCTGAAAGCTTACCCTCTGTGTGTGTGTGTGTGTGTGTGTGTGTGTGTGTGTGTGTGTGTGTGTCCGTGTGTGTCCGTCTGTCCATTGGTCACTTTGTCTGTGTCCATCCTGGGACTTGAACTAAGGGCCTGAACATGGTCCCTAATCTTATTTGCTCAAGACTAGTTCTCTGCCACTTAAGCCACAGCTCTACTTCCAGTTTTTTTGGTAGCTGATTTGATATGAGAGTCTCACAGATGTGGGCTGACTTCAAACCGGATTCTCAAATCTCAGCTTCCTGAGTAGCTAGGATTATTTACATGAGCCACCAGCTACCAGCTTCTAGCCTTATTTTTCACATACAGTCTTTTAAACTTTTTATGGTGCTGACAATAGGACTCGGGGCCTCCAGCATGCTAGGCATATTTTCTACCACAGAGCTACGCTATTGGGCCCCTTATTTTTAATGTGTAAGTGTCTAGGAAAGTCAAATATTGTTCAAAAGACACTCATCAGTGCCTCACCTTACTACCCTGTTAGTTTCCATTGCTTTGCATGAGTTCTGGGAGTGAAGAAGACTTCATTAAATCTTGTATGGTCTATTCTTAGGAGGTACTTGTCAGCAAGATTAGATGGACTAAAATCCCACTGGGAACAGATTGCTTATGCTTGGTCAGTTTAGACTGGTTTTTGTGTTCAAGGGAATATGACAGTGAACTTTTCCAGAAGAGTGAGAAGTGGTAGTGGGTTGTGTCAATCTCTCTCTCTCTCTCTCTCTCTCTCTCTCACACACACACACACACACA